TCTATTTCACTGGGTTGTTTTCTCATTGATATTGATGGCAGAGTATCTTTATGTCTCTTTATTTGAAAAACATAATAAGTAAATAATGCCCACACTTGAGATATCACTGAGCAAGGGACAGGTTGTTTGGTCTGTCTTACTTTTTGTATTCATTTTTTATCAGGGTCAGATTACATTTTTATTCCCCCTGTTTGAAAATAGCAGCCACCAGCATTTCAACCGCCATGTCATCTACACCTGTGCTGATCTAGATTTGATGACACCACGTTAATATACTCCAGAACTCCTGCCATTGATACCATAGATGGTGGGGCCCTGGGACAGCACTGCAATGGGAAATGTGAATAAAAATTTTAGTATAGACACAACCTAGGCATGGTTTAGCTGTTTTTTTGTTCTGAATAGTTGTTTGGGTAAATTTATTCTATGCGATGTTTCTATTGCTTGTGGAATGAAATGTTTTTGTCTAAAGGATATTTTCTGCCAAATTCTCAATTGCTGCATTTCCTGATGTGTTCTGTATCCAGTCCTTTCTGTTTAAACATCAGTAGTTTGGTCCTTCTCCCAGTAAAGTTAATGGCAAAACTCCCACTGACTTCAGTGGGATTAGGACTGAGCCCAAATCTGTTATGTTATTTTGGGTCCAACTCCTTATATTATTTGAAAGCCATCAGTCTTCCTTTCTTATACAAACAGAGACAAATTCCAGGGTCCACACATTTGTCTAGTTTTTCATCCTGTCCTTCCCTCTTAAGGACGGTCTATATTTTAATACCATATTTCTGCTAATTTTTTACAGTACATTGCAGTTTGCATTGCAGCATACATTAATGGCACTCTGCATAAATACATTTCTCCTCCTAAATTCTCTAAGAGTATTGTTCTACTGTATATTTGCTTTCACTTATTACCTTTCCTTTGGAGTCTATCACCCAATCAAATAGTTTGGCAGCATCTACTTTCTCTTCACTCTTCAGTCACTTTTTTGACCATATCAGGTGTGGCCAGAGCATTTAGTATGCTGTCTCTTGCCTTTTCTGAGAAGGTATTAACAGAATTATTTTGGGGGGTGGAGGGGTTGAATTAAAGAAATAAAGCAACTAATTATGGGTATCTTGGCTAAATTATAAATAAGGGTGGACCTGCATGGTATTTAAAGGGTGGCATTTAAATGTCATAGGCCGCAGAACTGGGGGTTGGTGGCACCTGGGCCACAGCCCAACTCCCACTTTTTCGCTGGGCCAAACCTCATGCACCAAGTCGCAATGCCACTCACTCAGATTTGGAGGGGATATGTGGAGGGGCTCATGGGTCGAGAGGAGGGGCGCCTGAGAGGGGAAGACGAGGGTTAGGTGGTGGTGGGGCAAATCAGTCTCCTGCCCACACATGTTTTCAGTGGTGCTCTGCAGCCCCTGGTAAATATCAAGCAGGAAATCAGTTTCTGGGGTGGTCTAAAGAACTGTGACCAAGAAAAATGGAATAAAGATGAGCTAAGAAAATATTTAGGCTGGTTCTCAGGAAAAGTTCCCTGACAGAACAATCTATTAGCTATTGAAGAGTCTGTTTAAGGAATTGTAACAATAACGAGGAGTCCTTGTGGCACCTTAGAAGTATTCTTAGCTACACATTGGACAGAACCCTGCAGAAAATGCTGACAGAAAAATCCAGCACTGGCAGGGAGATGGAAAAGGGGACCAAGCAGTTCTTTTCTAACTTCTATGATTCTGTATTTTCCTGTATATATTCATTTAAAATATCCCCACTTTGCAATATCTAGAAGCTGTCTTGATAGAGCCTGAAGGTTTCAGTCATGGTTACTTCTTGTGGGAAGTATGTAGGAATAATAAGGGTGAATGGCAGCATTAAATAAGGACTGCAGATAAGGAAATCAGACCATGCAAGAATGTGGGAATGCACATGGGGAACAGGTGTGTGTAAGTTATGCCTGAAAGGAAAACTAGAATGGAATAAAAATTAGTTTTTAATCACTAGATTTAATATACAACATCACTAAACCGCTTTTAATTTTTTTTAAAAGTTAAGAGGGTTCTGTGTGGGGCAACTGGCTATAGGCGGCTCACTGGGTATCTGGTTGCGGGGGGGATCTGGATGCACAGGGGCTTGTTGTGGGGTTCTGGGTGCAATGGCAATGGGACTTTGCAGGGGGATCCAGGTGAAGGTGGTTGGGGCCCAGTGAGGGGGTCTGGGTGAGGGGGGAATAGAGCTCAGCAGGGGGGTCTTGGTGTGGAGGGCTTTGTGGGGGGTCCAGATGCTGGGGGAGCAGAGCTCAGTGGGGTGGGGATCTAGGTGCAGCTGGTTGTGGCTCAATAGGGTGGGAATCCAGGTACAGGTGGCTCGTCAGGGTGGTCCAGCTGCAGGTGGAGTGGGGCTCATCAGGGAGGGTTTTGCGTGTGTGGGGGATGAGGCTCGGCAGGATGATCTGGGTATGATGGGTCTGGATGCACGGGGGATGCGCAAATTGGAAAGCAGCTCCCTGTACAGTGATCCCTCCCTCTGCAGCTAAAGGGTGATGGGTGCTGTAAGCACAGGGTTGGGGGAAGAGTTTGCAGAGCTACTTACAGACAGGGGAGAAATCCGGTGGTGGGTCTGAGACAGTCCCAGATGCCAGGCAGGGGAAGATGAAGTCCTGTCCTCCCCAGCCCAGCCGGAACTAGCAGCTGAGCCTGGCGCAGGATAGAAGCCACCAGCCGGGTCTTCCCCAGTCCTGCCCCTGCCCCACAGTGATCTACCTCTCTGCTGGTTGCCCTGGGCACCCGGAACATACTGCTAGGGCAGGTCTCATGACCACTCTTGTGGCTTCCCTTTCCTTCCCCGTCAGAAAGCCATTTTTCTGCAGGAAAGCACAGAAATATGTGGGGGACATACATTCTTCGCATGCACAATGGTGCAGAATTCCACCAGGAGTAATATAATTAAGGGGAGAGCAGCCATAACAGAGATTCATAGATTTTAATGCCAGAAGGGACCACTAGGATTATCTAGTCTAATTTCCTGCAAAAGAAAAGCAGAGGACCCCACCCACCACTTCCTGCATCATGTTATGGTTGAGTTGAAGCATATTTTTTCAGAAAGATAGCCAATCATTACTATCACTCCCTGCTTAGTTATCACCCAATTCAGAAGTGCAGGACCTGGAATGCTTATGGATCACTGTTCTAACTGATAAATCACACAATGGGATACTGGCGGGGGTCTTTTAGAGACCACCAAAATTAGACTAGAAAACAGAATAAGCAGCTCCTTAAACATCTATAATGTGCAGAAAGAAAGACTGCATGATGCGGGACAGATGTTGGAGGTCCCATGATGTCACTGGAAAAATACACTAGGAGTGTCTAAAAATTACAGATGACATTGTCAGATTAGTGTTATATATCTGGACAGTCAGTTTAAAACTTCATGCAGAGATAAGTGTCTCATAATCAAACAACATTTTTTAAAAATTATGCTCCAGGCAGAAATATTCCCAGTATTTTGGACTTCCGTTCACATTTCAACTTCCACATTCTGCAAAGTGCTGAAAGGTCATCTGGCAAGACATCCAGCCTCTAGAGGTCAGTCTAAACCCCTACCAGTCAAAATCTTTCAGTCAAAGACTAAATATGGCAGTGTCTTCTGTTAAATTCTACTCTATTATATTTAATGGAGACTTGTGTCTATCTTTATCACTACCACATAGGGTTGTCAACTTGCTAATCACACAAAACTGAACACCCTTGCCCCACCCCCGCCCCTTCCCCGAGGCCCTACCCCTGCCCTCCTTGTCCGAGACCCTGCCCCGCTCACTCCATCCTCCTTCCTCTGTCGCTTGCTCTCACTCATTCACTCATTTTTACCATGCTGAGGCAGGGGATTGGGGTGTGGGCTCCAGGAGGGAATTTGGGTGAGGGAGGGTACTCAGGGCTGGGGCAGGGGCATGGAAGGGGGTACGGGCTCTGGGAGGGAGTTTGGGTGAGGGATGGGGCTCAGGGCCTTGAGTGCAGGAAGGGATGCAGGCGGCGCTTATCTCAGTCAGTTCCCAGAAGCAGCCGGCGCTTATCTCAGGCAGCTCCCGGAAGCAGCCGGCATGTCCGTTGGCTCCTAGGTGGAGTCGCGGCCAGGCGGTACTGCACACTGCCTCTGCCCACAGCCGCTGCCCCTGCAGCTCCCATTGGCTGTGGTTCCCTGGCTGTCTCTCAGCCTTGGGGCCACAGGGACATGTCGCTGCTTCTGGGGAGCCACACGGAGCCAGTAGGGAGCCTGCCAGCCCCGTACCAACTGGACTTTTAACAGCCCGGTCGGTGGTCCTGACCAGAGCCGCTGGGTCCCTTTTCGACCAGGTGTTCCAGTCAAAAAACAGACACCTGGCTATCCTACAACACAACCAGACAGAGTCTATTACACTGATGGGATCTAAAAGATTACATATTTAATTAGGCAAACCCAGATATGCCAACAATGGAGCAAAAATTATATCAATTTCAGAAGACTAAGTAGCTTACTGTACATATTTAAATGCAGAGTGAAGAAAGTCTGGTCCAATGGTTGGGTGATTGTCAAGGTATCAAAAGACTGAATCAAATAATTTAAAAAATAAGTTTGCAAGCCAATCAACGTTTCTAATCTTTATTAGAACATAGCTCATAATATCTAGTGTGTCTGTGGGGAACATGGGGTAAGGGAACATACATCCTAAAGCATGATGACTGCTTTTCAGTGCTAGCTGCAGAATTCCAAATACATTTCCATGACTCTAGGCTTGGGTCCAGCATGGCACTGAAGCACAAGCTTAACTTGAAGCATGTGAATGGTCCCACTGACGGTTCTGTTCCCGGCCCCCACTTTTTTATTTTTTATACCTATGTAGAAGCAGCCTGAATTTTTATGTTATTTCCTGTATTGAGGAATATCTATCATGTCCTATTCAAACGGCTAAAGTGAAGTAAATTTAATCTAATTTCATTTTCAGTCCTCAGTGCAGGTAGCAGTAAGTTACTTACGATATTCATCAGGGTCAGAAGGTACTTCTGTACATGTTCTTTTCCATGGAACTGCACAACTGAGTCATCAACTCCCAGGAGAACTTCAATGTTGTAGTCATCATCAGTCGCATGCCTCCGATACCTCTTTCTTGAGCTGTTTACATGGTCTTCAATGAGGCTCAGCATACTGACAAAGTTATCCAGATTACTCAGGTCAGCTGCTGAAATTAAATAAAAAAATAGGCCATCAGCAGCATATCAAGATGTGATTGTTTTAATCCTCATTGAAAAGACAAAATATGGTTTAAAAAGAGAGAGAGAGAAAGAGACAGCTTCTTCTCTTACTCCAACATTATACCAGTGTAAGTAACTTCATTAGCATTATTCTGCATTTAAACGGGTGTAACAAGGAGAAAAATCTGGCCTACAGTATATCCACACTGCAACAAATGTGAATCCTCTCCCCATATCTTTGTGGCATCCAGTTGTATATTGCCATATATGTATATTGCATATTAGCATATACTTAGACTGTATGCTCTTCGGTGCAGGGACCATCTCTTTCTTACAATTCCGAAGACAATGGGGCTGAGGCCTATAGGCCCTACCACCATAGACGCCGACTCTGTGGATGCTCCAGTGCTGGAGCACACATGGAAAAAAATTAGTGGGTGCTTAGCACCTACTGGCGCCAGCTCCCCGTCACCCCCAACACCTCCCATCCGCTGGCGGCCCTGCCGATCAACTCCTCCTGCTCCTTCCCAGTGCCTCCTGCCCACAGCAAACAGTTGTTCTGCAACGTGAAGGAGGCACTGGGAGGGAGAGGGAGGAGTGCGGACGGGGTGTGCTCAGGAAAGGGGGCGCAAATGGGCAGGAAGAGGCGGGGCAGGGGCAGAGCGGGACAGGAAGAGGTGGGGTGGGGTGGGGACTTCAGGGAATGAGGTGGGTGGTGGCAGAGCCCGGGGGGAAGGGGGGTTTGAATACTCCCGGGACCCAGAGGAAGCCGGTACCTATACCTACCACAATATAAATACATAACAACAACAAATATAAGACGGTGCTAGAGCATACTACTATGTTGATATACCATGTGCCTGTTTGAAGTACAATCCTTGTTGTTGTTAGAAGTTTCTGGAATAAAGAGACCATTCAGCTGTCTTGTGCTGGGGTGCTGTCCCTAACGGCAAATATGATAATGGTCCAGATCTTCTAATGGGAATTAGGTGCCTAAATATTTTTGAGGATTTGTGCCCATACGCCTTCCTTTTATTATTCAGATTCTCCAGTTCTAGTATCAAATTTCATTGCAAATGCAATTACCCATGTAAGCTTTCTGCATTAAGCCATGTGAGGACAAACAAACCACTGCCAGCAGAGAGATATTAGATCTATTCATAGAAATGTAAATCTATCTGAAAAGCAATGATGTGGATACGTTTTCTACAACTCATGGACATTTTACATAATAAAGAAATACAATGAGAAATATATTCAAGATTTTTTTACAACAACTTTTCATCCTTTGTGCCCAGCTTGACTTGTCATATTGAATTACTGTAAATACAAGCACAATCTCCCAGGTGGAAAGTTAGGTAACATTATTATTGTTATTTATTTGTTTCCAATATTTCCCATTATTTAAAAAAAGGGGGAGGGCTGGGCTGCAGTTAATGGATGATCTGGGTCCACTTAAACAAATTATTGATAATAATTTGCTTGAAAACAAATTATTGGCACTTAACCCTACACTTAATTCTCCATCACTTGACGTCTTCTAATTAAGACTGGACGATTCCTTCTCCTGGCCTTCAAACAATCCACCAACTTTGCCAGACTCATCATTGGACACAAGCTCCGCACAGTCCAGGACAGACCAACTCAAAAGGCACCAGACCCGACCATAACAACGCATGCAAAACCTGCAGAAATATTGCCACTGCTATGATGATCAATACCCCCCCCCCCAAACAAATCTTTCAAGATCCATAGTCATGGGTGGCGGGTGGAGCCCCACTTTGGGGAGGCTAGCCCCCAGCTCCACCCCTTCTGCCTATCCCCACACCCCCTCCCATACCCACACCTCCCCCACAGCCAAGGAGCCCTGGGCCAACCGGGGCCGCCGCAGCCATGTCGCCACTCTGCAGACCTGAAGCCATCCCACGGGAAAATTCAAAAGTTCTTCTCTTCTTCTCTCTTCTGGAAGAAGAACCTGAGCTTTTAGGATATGCCCCATGCAGGCTCCAGGGCGGATGAGGAGGTGGTATGTGTTACTCATCTTCCTGGGCTCATCAGTAATCTCCCTAAAATCCAGGGAGATTACTGACGAACCCAGGAAGTGAGTAGCACATACTCTCTCCTCAACCGCTCCAGAACCTGCATGATGCATAATAAAAAGCAAAAATTTCCCCCACCAAACCCCAACCGGGGTCCGGCAACAGCAGCTGCGCCATAGGTCCTACACATGCTTATCACAACATGTGCTGTAGCTCATCCAGTGTATCAAAAGGCCCCAGTAACAATTACTTGGGAGAAACCAAACAACAACCAGGTTCTTGAATGAACTCGCACAGAAAAATGGTAAAAGATAAAAACACCATATCACCATGGTCAAACACTTTTCACAAAATGATCACTCTATTTCTGACCTCTCAGTCCTCGTCCTCAAAGGCAACTTGTACAACACATTCAAAAGATAAACCTGGGAGCTTAAATTCATAACTGTACTAGTTATCAAAAATCATGGGCTCAAGACATTCGTTTTACGCCTCATTACAACAATTTGTAACCTACTAAATCTCCTTTATTCTACAATTGTAGAGGTGTTAGCTGCCCACTTCACCTTAAATGGTCTCTTGTAACATGTGTTAACCCCTGATCTTTTCCACCCTTGTATTTATCTGTGAGTATCTTTCCCAGACCACCCAAAGAAGAGCTCTGTGTAAGCTTGAAAGCTTGTCTCTTTCACCAACAGCAGTTGGACCAATAAAAGATACTACCTCACCCACCTTGTCTTTCCAGAATTAGTCAAACACAAGTTACTGGTCTCAATACAGGAATAACTGGATGAAATTCTTTTCCTTCTATTATACAGGAGATACTAGATGCTCTAATGGTCCCTTCTGGCCTTAAAGATCTATGAACAAGAACCCCATTGCAGTAGGCATACAACCACATAGTAAAAAGCACAAGCCCTGCCACCAAAGAGTTTACAATCTTGGTTAATAACAAGATGCAACAGGTTGATGACACAAACAGAAGGGGAGAATCCCTGTTTCAGTACCCCTTCTTTCCTCCGCTGCTCCAAACAGTAGTTCTTCCTATGATAAAGACAGCCTTAAATGTAGCTAATGAATGCAGTAATCATATTCTACTTTCTGCAGGCTCCCATTGGCTCCAACCCTTGGGGCAGCTTGAAGTTTTCGGAAATTAAGTTGGTCAGAATCCACGGCTCAACTTGAAAATTATTTCTTCGCTATAATCCCAGTTGACAGTTTCAGGATGACAGGTAAACAACCCTAGACTAGCAATCCTAAAGGGAATTCTTCACCAGGGTTTGAAAATCTGTCAAACAGCCTATTGCAGCCCGATTTTGTAGGGCATTCCCACACGAAAATGTTAGTGTTAATCTTTTATAGCAACGAGAAGCAATTATTTAGCAATCACTCAAAACCTCATGAGATTTACTACGAAATCTTGTGGCAACCATATTTTTGTTCTCTATTACGGCAAACTGTTGTCACTGTGAAATTTGACAGTAAATCTTATAAGCTTTTTAGAAAAGCTAGACTAGCTTGGCAATTGCTACAAGTCATGTCCTGTTTACTTTGCACACAGATAAGTATAATAAAAATGGCAAAACAAAGGCTACTGATATATGATATTGAGAAATGGTTTCTCTTTCCAGTGCTTGGCAGGGCAAGGGAGACTGGATCTCTGGGGGGCTGAATGCTTTGACGTGATCTGAGTTAGGGAGATTGTGTTGATGTCATTGATGACAGGCAGTTTTGACAGTGGCACTGGCAGATCAGTCTCTGCTCTGTTGTTGCTGTTGTTTTTATGGACTGTGATCCTGTCCTTGGGAGTGGTGTCTGTTTTTTTTCCATTTATGTGTCTAAATCAAAATAAAATAATGACTTCTAGGAGGTGTGACAGGATGGGCAGCCCACCCTCCCCCCCCCACCTGCCATGGCCTTTTAAGGGCTTGAAAGGACAATAGATATCTATATAGACGAGCGGTGGGCACACTTTTTGGCCCGAGGGCCACGTCGGGGTTCCAAAACTGTATGGAAGGCAGGGTAGGGAAGGCTGTGCCTCCCAAACAGCCTGGCACCTGCTCCCTACCTGCTCACTCCCACTTCCCACCCCCTGACTGCCCCCCTCTGAATCCCCGACCCATCTAACCCCCCCTGCTCCTTGTCCCCTGACTGCCCCCTCCCAGGACCCCACATCCCTAACCACCCCTCCCTGGAACTCCAACCCCTATCATCCCCCCCACGCTCCCTGTTTCCTGACCCCTATCCATACACCCCTCCCCATGACAGGCCCCCCCAGGACTCCCAAGCCTATCCAACCACTTCCTGCTCCCTGTCCCCTGACTGCACCCCGGGACCCTCTTCCCCTTATCCAACTCCCCTTCCCCCTTATACATTTAAAAAATAAATTGCATGGTAAGTTTCACATTCTGATTGTCCAACTGACTTTTAAAAATGCAGCTCGTTTTCCTCTGCCAACAACTTAGTAATAAGAACATCAGTAACATGGTGCAAGATGCCACTCGTGAAACAACAAGCCACAAAGATCAGCATTTCTGACTCAGTGGATCTGATGGCTAGTATTTACAGGCATACTCCTGAAGAAACCCCTGAGTTAGGTTTCCTGTCACTTCCACCGAGTTGCTATAAATTGCAGATCTGCACTGTTGCTGAGCAAGCTGACTCATGTTTACTGCTGGACTGGGAGAAGGCAAAGTACCATAATCAGGTACCCTTGATAGATGCTTAACTTGCACAACCCTCTAGCTACTTCTTCTAAGTCAAGCCTTTTAAAATTGCACCTAACATTTTTATAATCATCCCTATTACTTGCATGCTACCCATGAGCAACTGATCTCCAAATTAAGTCCGTTAATTGTATGTTACATAAATTCTCATCTGTCCTCCCTGGGGAACTGAACATCAAATCAATGAGACTGCAACCTGCCTCCTTTGTAAAGACAGACAAA